AGGCCCTGGCCCTATGGCTCCCCCCCTAGGTGCGCCACTAAGTTAAGGGGGTCAGTTAAGTTAGCCCCCCCTATATTTCCAAATCCATTAAAACCTATACCATTTTTTTGCACCCATTTTGCACCGTTTTGCACCACCCGAAAAAAAATTTGCACCCCCTCAGGAGAGAGATTATATAGAAGTATTACTGGGGGGGGGGCCAAATTAACCGAGTTAAGTAATTATAATAGGAGTTGAGACTATGACCTTTATGGAGGTCGCGGACGGACGCGAAGGAGGAATCTGTTTACGGTTTCATGGGTAGCAGTAGACTCCGGAGCTGGTGTCTTCGTGGTGGTTCGGAATGATGACGGTTGTGACGTCATGGGTTCCCTTTAGCGACCCCTGGTGTGTACCATGGTTCGTCTGGGTCATCGGAGTTAACCACTTGACAACCTGGCTGTAAGCTGCCTCATCACAGTTTATTTAAAAAGTGTGCTCAGTGCAGGCTTATTCGCGTTCGTTTATTAAAATTTCGAGCGCTTTAATACAGTGTTTAACTGCTCAGGGCCTCTATTCTCGAAACAAGGAAACTGAGAGTAATATTCTCATGAAAATGAAGGTTCTGTCTTAGTCGTTCATATTTATATTTTCATAATACTGACAATGACAGAGCAATTGTTTTCATGAGAACTAAATTCAGAATTCGAACCGCGATTCTTTTCCGAATACTTCAAAGTACTTTTTCCGATTAAGAAGTCCTGGAAAATTGGAAAATTTAACAAAAAACGGCAATAAAAATAAAAGCGCGTAGCCATTTTGAAACAATAATAGTGCTACACTCATTTGTCACGAGATGGCGCTGCAGCCGCGAGCCCTAAAAAAACACCCAAAATCCAATAAAATAACTAATTAAGACTTAATTTAGACCTTATAAAGTTAAATTGCGTCAAAATTAATATAATTATAAGCCTTTAATAATAGGTTTTAATCAAGTAGGCTTTAGAAATAGTGGCAATTTTGACACTTGACAGTCGGTTATTATAAGTGAACGCGTATTGATTTCGGCCGTAAAATTTTCTAGTTTTCAATGAGAAAAAGTACTCGCAAGTGTTTGGACAGTGGCGGCTCGTCAGAGGAGGCAGGAGAGGCTAAGCCTCCCCCCAAAACATTGAAAATTCAATCTCACTTTTTATTCCTGATTCCTAATTGAAATGATTAATTTACAAATTTCGATGTAATTTAGAAAAATCTTATTATATAATTATATAACATTATTTCAATCAATCCCGCGCCTCCACGACAAAAATCTGTGAATCTGAGATACTCAGTAATATGAGCCCGAAGGGCCAGAGTTATACGCATGCCCGAAGGACCGGAGTTATACGTAAGCCCGAAAAGCCGGAGTTATACGTGAGCTCGAAAGGCCAAAGTTATTTTAATCACGAGGCTCAATCTATAATTCTATTGGTCAGCGAATAATTTAAAGTCAATTAAAAACCGGAAGTATTTAAAATGCGATTCTTAGCGTCTAATCAAAGTGCCGGGAATATTCAAAAACTTCAGTTTTATCAAATTGACTTTGGAATGTTGGTTTTCTATGGGGTTTTCTTAAGATTTTCACTTTTTTCAGAAAACGGTGCTTTTGCAAACATATACTACTTTATCGTTGTCTTTGTCTTACTCATTATAATCAATAAGTAAACCTTATAATGTCATTTTCATTGAAATTAAACTAAAAACAAGTTTCCTATGATTTATTTGGGGAATTTTAATTATTATAATCATCGGGGTTTGATTTTCGTAGCTTTTATATAGTAGAGCGGGAAAAAAGTCGAACATATGTCAAATTTGACAGGTGACATTTGTCGATATCACCAAAGTGTCGTGCGACAAAAGTTTTATCCGAACGAACCCGTGCATTGTCAACTGATTTTAATACTCCGGCCCTTCGGGCCGTTATCTTTGAAACAAAAAAAACGTCATTTTATATCGATTGTCAAAAAAATCAAGGTCTACTTTGAAATTTCAATTTTTTGACGTTTGTTGTATCATGAGCAGTGTTGCCATATGTTTTTTTTTTCAAATCACGAGCTCGAAGGGCCGAGATTATAGGTTATTTTAATGCCAATCAAGAGCCGGAATAATCAAAATTCGAATCCCCAAACCAATCAGGAGCCGGGAAAATTCAAAAATTCGAATTCCAAACCCGACGGGAAATTGAATTTTTTGTACCAACTGTTGTTACAAATGAATTCATTAAATTTTCATATAAGTGTTGCTACATAAATCTCACTCTAAAACCCACTAAAAAACGACTTGTTTTCTAACCTTTGTTTTTTGGAAAAAACAAAAGATTTTTTTTTTGAGATTGACAGCTGTCAAAATTTAAAAAAACCCACATGGGCTTATAGATTTAGCCTCAGTGAATACGTAGGAAGTGTACCAATGTTTTTTTAACATATGTCAAAAAAGACGTTCGGCGTTGCCAGGCCGTTGGTTTTTGACATATATCGAAGAAACTTTTTTTGCCCAAGGGATCGTTTTCTGACATTTGTTTTTTGAGAAAAAGAAAAGGTAAAAATTTTAGCCATTGACAGTTGTCAAAATTTTAAAAAAAAACCCACATGGGCATTGGGCATATAGATTTAGCCTCGGCGAATACGTAGGAAGTAGCCTAACAGGGGACCGGCCAATTTTTTGACTTTTATTGTATTATAACCAGTGTTGCCATATGTTTTTTTCCAAATCTCGATTCTGGAGGGCTGAGGTTATCTCAATTATGAGTTCAAAGGGTCGATGTTATACGAGTCCGAAGGGCCGGAGTTATTTTAATCATGAGCCCGAAGGTCCGAGGTTATACAAGTCCGAAGGGCCGGAATTATACGAATCCCAGGGTTGCCAGATGGTTATAACTAATTTCCCCCAAAGGATTTCGAAAATACCCCAAAAATCACTGTTTGTCAACTAAAATCCCCCAAATAAATATAGATTTATTCTCGAATCATACTTGCAAAAAAAAAGCCAAATTTGTTGAATATTTTAAAATAAAACTCATACCCTTGCCACTTTTTTATTTGTTTATATTTTTCTAATCCCAAAAATAAAATGACAATTGACAAATGACAAATGAAATAAAATGTTGGGACTGGCGACAGAAGAGATAAGTACAGTTGTACCAAGAAGTTTGGATAGTTTAAAAAATAATCTCAATTTATGAAAATAGTAGTACTTACTTAATAACACAAAATAAGAAATAAGACATAACTTAAAATTTAGCGTTTTAATACATTTTTTACTTTATTTTTATTCATTGAAATATGTATACCCGATTTCCCCCAATAGCGAAAATTCTCACAATTTTTACCCCCAAAAAATCCCCCAGAAAAAACTATCCCCCATCTACTTGAAAATCCCCCAAATTTGAGGGAAAATCCCCCAATCTGGTAACACTGACGAATCCGTTCATTGTCGATTGCAGGGACGTAGCAAGTCAAAACCGGGCCCTCGTGCAGGACTAGAGCACAGCGGGCCCCCTTCACCCATGGGCATGGGAAGGTTCAAATTTTCAAGGAGGGGGTTATGGGCAAAATGGCGCATGGCAAACTCGTAGGCAAGAAATTTTTGGAGGGTTAACAGACGATATAGCTATTTTTATAACAAGTACCTAAAATAAAATTTTTCAGCAACCTTTCTGAAAGTACATACTTTCCGAATGCGTTTCACTTAAGAAAATATGCCTTTTCCAGCCTAGGCCGGAATGTAATTACTTAGACCACAGGCCAAGAAGTGATTATTTTCCTACTTCGTCTGAAAAGTATGTTCTTTCCGGCCGAAAAAATAGTATACGTAGGTAATACTCCCGGAAAGTGTTTTTTCGGACACGCAGACTGGAATCTTGTCTACTCGTCCAAAAAAACAGTACTTTCCGGACTCCTCATGCAATATACTATTTTTGATGAGTCGAAAAAACTCCAAAAAGTGATTGAATTCCATTGACAAAAATGTGACATTAAAAATTTTAAACTGATTACGCATTGGCATTGTTGTGGCAACAGCGCTAGCTATTTTTTTTTTCTGATTGCTATAACGACTTTTAGGGACTAGGCCGAAAATGAAGCATTTTACGGACTGAAATGGGTCCGTAAAATAGACATTTTTGAGAGCTTATACACGATTGAGATTGACAATTGACAATATTGACAAAAGTACTAGGAGTAGGAGGACTGACTGAAAAGAAATCTGTAGAGATCGATATTACCGAGGATATTACAGTTTTCTGTTTCGGTTTAAAATCGACAATGCGAATATTGCTTGGGCATAAAATGATGAATTTTTTTTTTTTGATTTTCTTGTATGCTGGGTCCAAAAAGCGACAGGACAAATCAAATAACTGGTTATTATACAAAAATTCCCACAGGTTATGGGTCCAGAATAGTTGAAATTTACAAATTTAAATAGTAATGAAAAAACAAACCACAAACTCAAAGATTTCTGAAAAATCGCTGCGTTCGAACACTATGTGTAACATCACACTTATCAATAACCGAATTTTCACGACGAATTACTTCCATGATTTCATGAATATAAACGCTTTCACAAAAAACTCATGACGTCATATTGAACATAGTTTGACAAAACTATGGACACAGACACAGCTTCTAACCAGCGTTCAAACTCATGACGTCACAAACGAACTATAGTTCGTCCTTGAATTAAATACATTCATCACGAAAATTCGGTTTTAGTTAGTTACTTTCAACTTTTCTAATACTTCACTTGTTTTAAAAACTGATTTAAGAGCCGGTTTCTCAATAGCGAGTCACCACGGGGTTGGTTTTAACTCCAGGGTTAATGTGTAAAATTGCTATGTTTACCCTGGGAATTAACTTAACCCGGAGGTGACCTGCTATTGAAAAACCAGCCCTAAATCTTTCATGGATGGTAACACGTAACATGTACTTCATTTCCCAAAATCTGCCAACTTGACTACACTATTGATTTTTCCTGTTCTTTTCCAGACAATAACTTGCGATTTGGACGCCACGCCCGCCTTCCAACTGAAATCGTTCCGACAAAAGGGCGAAAAAGTCGACACTTCTCACTACAGGGTCGACTTGAACCGTTTCAGGGCTCGCATGAACATTTTTTGCGTTTCGGAAAAGTTGCAGGCTTCGATAAAATGCGACGGATGGCCCGAAATCAAATTGGCCTTGGCTCCAGTCGGAAATATCAAGAACAATTTGGACGAGACTCAGTTACAGGAAGTTATCAGGTAAAGTATTACCATTATCAATTGAAAATCGCATCTCTATGGTGACTACTCAAAATTAGAAAAATACCCCTTATAATAATATGTATAAAATAATTTGTATATTTTTATGCCTAGTCCTGGTACACTATAACAAAGACACTGCACGCCGACAAAAAAAACTTGAAAATTGTCGGCGATGCCGCTGGGCTTTATCGCTTGCCGACAAAGCTGAGTCGCTCTTGTTGACAGTGTGAGATATTCTCTTTAGAAGTGGACAAAAGTATAAAATTACACAGATTATTGAATAAAAATTAATTTCAAATTTGAATTTTTAATAAAGGAATAATATACCCATTCAAATATTTATATTTGATTTATTTCAATAATTTAAAACGGAATTTTAAGGATTACCTACTAAATGAATTTTGTCCATTTATTCAATGTATTAACTCCACTGTATTCTAGAAGTAAATCAGCTAGAATTTCGGGGCAATGGCGTTCGTCATTTCAGTTTTTATAGAAATATCTGGAGTATGTTTATTCTTTATTAACCAATTTGTTTTCATTTGTCATGATAATAATATTTAGACGCCTATGGATTCCCACGTGACTACAAAGGGATAAACTGAGCCGCCTTTTTTATGAAGTTTCAATTAATAATGATTAAACTATACCTAAAATAGAATTGAAAAATACAGGGTGATTCAAAAGTAAGCGGTATCCTTTCGAGGACGTATTCCTTTTTTTTCCAAATTTTCAAAGTCAATTTTCTCGTAAACGGTACGCTGTATCGAATTGAACCAAAAGTACCTTTTCCGTGTAAAAAACTCTAAAATTTTTGAATTTTTAATCAGAATCGCAAAAACCTGAAGAGTAAAAAAAATAGGGATGTTTAACCCTCACCCTCCCCAGTATGTGACGCCACTGATTAAGATTTTTGAAATTTCAATTTAATATTCTAATTGCCATCAAATGTTTATAAAATACACCAATATTCTGAATCCATTTGTGAAGGGTTTCAAAGTTATAGAAAAAAGTACGTCTTTTAGGTGAAGGGGTGTAGCTCCTTTGGGAAGCATTTCCGTACCCATATTAATAGGAATTTTTTGTCTTATTTTTATGCAAGGAATACGTTCCCGAAAGGATGCCGCTTACTTTTGAATCACCCTGTATAACAAATTCCCGAAAAAAAAATATTTCCATGGAAATTCAGAATACATTTTTGTATTTTAACTCAACTTAAATAATTTTTTTTCAGTGAAATCGTCACGAATGCTCTGAGAAATGTCGATGTCCATTTGAATCTCGCCCAGTATCCCACTTGTCCCAGACTGATACGACACGTGGAGACCTCTGGACGCACTCTACCTCTCCATTATGACAGCATGGTACGAATTTTAAAAATTACATAATAATTCAGTTGATTTTAAAAAAATGTGTCAATTTTATCGACCTCAAGTGCCTCAATGTCTACTTTTTCTTGTGCTTAAGTATCGCCATATCTACTAACTAGCTTAAGATTAATAGGTATAGATATAAAGCTAATAGGTTGCCTGGTAATGGGTAACTTGATGACGCATCTGAGGTGCAGTGTTGCCAACCGTACTTATAGTATTTGTACTATAATTGAATGATTATGTACTATGTACTCTTAGAGCAGGTAAAAAACATAAGGAGTAGGAATGCGCCATTCTGCTTATGAAACTAAAGTGAAGTCAAGTTTTTGCCAGGTGTTTGGCACCAAAATACAGGTAAAGCATTGAATTTCCTATACCGCCATTTTTTTGGTGCCAAAATACCTGGAAAAAAAAAACGGCTTCATTTTCCAACACCATGTTACTACTCCTCTTTACCTTCTATCTATAGTATTACTAAAGCATGTATTTTTTGACATTTTAAATGTCAACTGTCAAAAGTGTTAATTTAGTGTTTTTTTTAGTGACTGAGTTTACACTGTCAATTGTCAATTTCATTGATTTTCCTGAGCGGATCCTTATTTTTATACCAAAAAAAATGTTATCGAACGCATTTAATTTTTAAAATTATTTTTAATTTTGTTATTTTTTGCGGGAAAAATTTGAAATTTTAGTGTGATGCGCCTCTGACTTTTCTCTTTTTCTCCAGAAAATGTGACAATTTTTCCTTGAATAATTTTCCAGAAAAAAAATTGAATATTAAATAGTGCATTTATGCCTAATTTAGTTGATGTTCATTAATTTCCAATGGGGTTATTTTACACTTGAACAATTTGAAACTTTAGTATGATACGCCTTTGACTTCTCTCTTTTTTTCCAGAAAATGTCATAATTTTCCCTTGAATGGTTTTCCAGAAGAAAAATAAAATGTTAGATAGTACATTTAAATCTAATTAAAATAGTTGATTTTCATTAATTTCCAATGGCGTTATTTTCCACTGAAAAACATTAATATTTTACTATGATACACCCCTGACTTTTTTCTTTTTTTCCAGAAAATGTCATAATTTTCCCCTGAATAGTTTTCCAGAAAAAAAAAATATATTGAATGGTGCATTTATGCCTAATTTAGTTAATTTTCATTAATTTACAATGGGATTATTTTCCACTGGAAAAACTTGAAATTCGACTATGATACACCCCTGACATTCTTCTTTATTTCCAAAAAATATCATAATTTTCCCGTAGATAGTTTTCCAGAAAAAAAATAAAATGTTAGATGGTGCATTTATGTCTAATTTAGGTGATTTTCATTAGTTTCCAATGGGATTATTTTACACTGGAAAAATTTGAAATTTTACTATGATACGTCCTTAATTTTCTTCTTTTTTTCCATAAAATGTTATAATTTTTCCCTGAATAATTTTCCAGAAAACAAAAAAGTTAAATGGTGCATTTATGCCTAATTTAGTTGATTTTCATTAATTTTCAATGGGGTTATTTTCTATTGGAAAAATTTGAAATTTTACTATAATAGGTCCCTAACTTGCTTCTTTTTTTCCAGAAAATGTTATAATTTTCTCTTGAATAGTTTTCCAAAAAAAAAAAAAAAAATGTTAGATGGTGCATTTATGCCTAACTAAGTTGATATTCATTAATTTCCAATGAGGTTATTTTCCACTGTAAAAATTTGAAATTTTATTATGATACGCCCCTGACTTTCCTCTTTTTTTCCAGAAAATGTTATAATTTTCCCTTGAATAGTTTCCCAGAAAAAAAATTAAATGTTAGATGGTGCATTTATGCCTAATTCAATTGATTTTCATTAATTTCCAATGGGGTTATTTTTCAGTGGAAAAATTTGAAATTTTAATATGATACGCCCCTGACTTTTTTCTTTTTTTTCAGAAAATTTCATATTTTTCTCTTAAATAGTTTTCCAGAAAAAAAAAATGTTAGATGGTGCATTTATGCCTAATTTAGTTGATTTTCATTAATTTCCAATGGGGTTATTTTTCACTGGAAAAATTTGAAATTTCACTATAATACGCCCCTGACTTTCTTCTTTTTTTCCAGAAAATGTTATAATTTTCCCTTGAATAGTTTTCCAAAAAAAAAATTAAATGTTAGTTGGTGCATTTTTATGCCTAATTTAGTTGATTTTCATTAATTTCCAATGGGATTATTTTCCACTGGAAAAATTTGAAATTTTACTATGATACGCCCCTGACTTTCTTCTTTTTTTTCAGAAAATGTTATAATTTCCCCTTGAATAGTTTTCCAAAAAAAAAAAAAAATTAAATGGTGCATTTATGCCTAATTTAATTGATTTTTATTAATTTCCAATGGGGTTATTTTTTACTGGAAAAATTTGAAATTTCACTATAATACGCCCCTGACTTTCTTCTTTTTTTCCAGAAAATGTTATAATTTTCCCTTGAATAGTTTTCCAGACAGTGTTGCTAGATGAAATTAAAAAATTTCGTGAGAATCGAAAAAGAGAAATCGTGAGAAATCGTGAGTCTAAAAACTGCTATAATATTATAAGAAAATAAAGCACAACAATGTTCTTTTATAGATTTTTGATAAAGTAAACATGATTTTACATTTATAAAGAAATAAACAGTTTATTATTAAATCTCTTGTATCCTTGTATTTTCCATTTTTTAGCGTTTGGATGTTTCTAGAACCACGTTATCAGTAAGTTCACTATTCGCAGGATTACTCATAAGGCGTACGTTCGCCAATTCTCGGCAGCTGGTCTGCGAGTGACGTCACCACTATCAGCAGCTGATAGTGGTGATGTCGCCCGGAGACCTCGATAGATTACTTGCGATTTAGGCTGTGCTTGTGAGTTAATTTTTTCGTCAATTTTAAATTTAGAAAAGGTGATTTTAACGTAAAGGAATTCGTTTTTTTTTACCTATAGTATTTTAAATCTCGGATAATGTATTTTACGGCAAGAGATGCCAGAGTTGAAGTCTGAGACGAGACTGACATGGCAGACATTTTCAGTTCAATAAGCAGTCCAATGTTCTTGGGCACGTATGTACCAGGAGCGGCGTAATATAACTAAATATTGTAACGAAGATTTTTATTTCGATTAAACATTATATTTAATTACTGATTTTTACTTCTACAGAGAGAATTCGTGAGAATTGCTACCTCATTCGTGAGATCGTGAAATTCTTACCAAAATCGTGCAATCTTACGAATAATCGTGAGATCTGGCAACACTGTTTCCAGAAGAAAAAAAAATGTTAGATGGTGCATTTATGCCTAAGTTAATTGATTTTCATTAATTTCCAATGGGGTTATTTTTTACTGGAAAAATTTGAAATTTCACTATAATACGTCCCTGACTTTCTTCTTTTTTTCCAGAAAATGTTATAATTTTCCCTTGAATAGTTTTCCAGAATAGTACATTAAAATACAAGTTTCATAAGACGTCATTTTATCGCACGAGCCCTATATTAGAAAACGAGCCGGAGGCGAGTTTTCTAAAGGGCGAATGACAGTTCGATGGCCATCAGTCAGCCAGTGTTACCAATCTCCGATAAGTAAAAAAGGAGTGTCACAAAGAGCTTCTTTTCGAAACTACTTTTAGTGTCGAAAAGACTTCGATATGACACCAAAATAGAAAAAAAAAATTAAATGTTAGTTGGTGCATTTTTATGCCTAATTTAGTTGCTTTTCATTAATTTCCAATGGGATTATTTTCCACTAGAAACATTTGAAATTTTACTATGATACGCCCCTAATTTTCCTCTCTTTTTCCAGAAAATGTTATAATTTTTCCCTGAATAATTTTCCAGAAAAAAAAAAGTTAAATGGTGCATTTATGCCTAATTTAGTTGATATTCATTAATTTCCAATGGGGTTATTTTTTACTGGAAAAATTTAAAATTTCACTATAATACGTCCCTGACTTTTTTCTTTTTTTCCAGAAAATGTTATAATTTTCCCTTGAATAGTTTTCCAAAAAAAAAAAAAATGTTAGATGGTGCATTTATGCCTAATTTAGTTGATTTTTATTAATTTCCAATAGGGTTATTTTCCATTTGAAAAATTTGAAATTTCACCATGATACGCCCCTGACTTTCTTCTTTTTTTCCAAAAAATGTCATAATTTTCCCTTGAATAGTTTTCCAGAAAAAAAATAAAATGTTAGATGGTGCATTTATGTCTAATTTAGTTGATTTTTATTAGTTTCCATTGGGGTTATTTTTCACTGAAAAAATTTGAAATTTTACTATGATACGCCCCTGATTTTCCTTTTTTTTTCCAGAAAATGTTATAATTTTTCCCTGAATAGTTTTCCAGAAAAAAAAAATGTTGGGTGATGCATAGTGGAAAATAACCCCATTTTTTTTTTCTAAAAAATTATTCAGGGAAAAATTATAACATTTTCTGGAAAAAAAGAGGAAAATCAGGGGCGTATCATAGTAAAATTTTAAATTTTTCCAGTGGAAAATAACCCCATTGGAAATTGATGAAAATCAACTAAATTAGGCATAAAAATGCACCATCTAACATTTAATTTTTTTTCTGGAAAACGATTCAAAGGAAAATTATGACTTTTTTTGGAAAAAAAGAAGAAAGTCAGGGGCGTATCATGGTGAAAGGACCCCGCACACCTCTTATGGGTATTTGGTTTTCTGTCAAACTCAATGAAATTTTGATATGTGTTAGACCTTGATTTCCTGATAAAAAGTTCTCATGGGCCTGAACCAATCCTATGGCTAGTTTTTGAGATACAAGAAGTTAAATGTCCAAGAAATGTATACATTTTATATGCATTTACATCTACCTATCAACTGAGTGTGAGGATACCTGTCCATCCTGGTATATTATTAGGTGACAGGTAGATGTAAATACATATAAAATGTGTACATTTCTTGGTCATTAAAGAACCTGTATCTCAAAAACTAATCATAAGATTGGTTCGGGCCCATGAGAACTTTTTATCAGGCAGTCAAAGTCTAACACATATCAAAATTTCATTGAGTTTGACAGAAAACCAAATACCTATAAGAGGTGTGCTGGAAAAAAAGAAAAAAGTCAGGGACGCATTATAGTGAAATTTCAAATTTTTCCAGTAAAAAATAACCCCATTGGAAATTAATGAAAATCAACTAAATTAGGCATAAATGCACCATTTAACTTTTTTTTTTTCTGGAAAATTTTTCAGGGAAAAACTATAACATTTTCTGGAAAAAAAAGGAAAATCAGGGGCGTATCATAGTAAAATGGTAAAAAAAAGTAAAAAAAAAAATTTAAATGGTGCATTTATGCCTAATTTAGTTGATTTTCATTAATTTCCAATGGGATTATTTTCCACTGGAAAAATTTGAAATTTTACTATGATACGTCCCTGATTTTCTTCTTTTTTTCCAGAAAATGTTATATTTTTCCCTTGAATAGTTTTCCAGAAAAAGAATTAAATGTTGGATGGTGCATTTATGCCTACTTAATTTAGTTGATTTTCATTAATTTCCAATGGAGTTATTTTTCATTGGAAAAATTTGGAATTTTAGTATGATACGCCTCTGACTTTTCTCATTTTGTTTAGAAAATTTCATAATAGTTCGATCTCTGTGTGTCCCACTAGGACAATTGGTGGTCATCTGTCTATAATTTGTACAAATTTACTATAATTTTATAGCCTTCTATACTACAATAGTTGATCCAGAGTTGGTAACAGAGCTGGGCAAAGCCCTCAGTAAAAGGGCTTGAAGCACTAAGCCCTAAGCCCTCTATCAAAGTGCTTCAATTTCAAGCACAAATTCCTTTTTATTTTCAAAAGTGCTTCACAAGCACAAAGCCCTCAAAGTGCTTTGGGCTTGACAAGCACAAAGCCCTCAAAGTGATTTGAAAAGTGCTTGAGGCACATCAAAAGTGCTTGGGGTGCCTTGAAAAGGGCTTCAAGCTCTTTAAATGTGCTTCAAGCTCTTTAAATGTGCTTGAAGCTCTTTAAATGTGCCTAAAGCACTTTGAATTTGTAATAAAATTCTCAAAGTGGCATAAGCTACCGCGTACACTCATCACACAGAATTGGTACTTATAGTAGAGACGAACTTTACATTTCACAGAGTAGCAGTAGTATGTTTTTTTTTGAGATGTAGTTCTGGGGTACTTGGGGTACTACATGGTAATTCAATTTTAAGGTTTTGAAAATGTTCATTGGGGAAAAGTGGAAAAAATCCAGTGATAAAGTTAAATAGGTTACCAATATAAATTAATTATTTATTTGAATAATAAGTTCATTATTTTTTTTTTTAAATTCCATTCTAAGCTCAAACCCAAAACCTCCATTGTTAAGAGAGAAAAGACATAAGACGGTTCAAGTTCAAATAAAAGAAAAAAAAATTAAGGGACAAAACACGATCGAAAATTTTCAAGTGGGGGATAGGTTGAGTGATGGTCAATTCAAATTCCTTTCAAAGTGCTTCAAGCCCTTTTAAAGTGCTTCAAGCCCTTTTAAAGTGCTTCAAGCCCTTTCAAAGTGCTTCAAGCTCCCAAAAGTGCTTCAAGCCCTCTTAAAGTGCTTCAAGCCCTTTCAAAGGGCTTCAAGCTCCCAAAAGTGCTTCAAGCCCTCTAAAAGTAATTGAAGCTCATTGAAAGGGCTTGAATTACTTTTTTCAATTACAAATTACCAAGCACTTTTCTAAAGTAATTGACTTTGCAAGCCCCAATTACAAATCTATAAAAGGGCTTGAAGCACAGGGCTTTCAAGCCCTCAAAGGGCTTCAAGCACTTTCGCAAGCACAAAGCACTCAAGTCCTGCCCAGCTCTGGTTGGTAACACTGCTGGGGTGCCTTATAGAGATTTGAATTATGTTTCAACACCCCGGATGACGTCATAAAATTATCAGGCAACCTACTTCTCTTGCACAACCTTGGTATAGAGGCACTTGAATTTGTAGGCCAGTGTAAATAATTTTGAATTTGCAAAATTTTTTATAAAGCTGCAACTGTCAACTGTCAAAAATAGTTAGCGTTAGTAGTTCTAGTAAATATACCAAAAGTCCCCATTCGTTCGGTTGTTGCGTCATTAGAAAAAACAATCCGCCATCTTGAATTTCGGCACTTTTCGGAAAAAATCGTGAATAAGTCAAAAACGGTACATTCTATCGAAAAAAACTCAAGAGAGGAAAATTGAATAGAATGAAAAAATGAAGGAGGTATCATAAAAACTGAATGCGTACCATAACGTAGTAACAATCTAGAATTTTTTGAATTTTATGAAATTTAACAAAATCAAGGGAACCAGACCATAATGCAGTTAATGCATTTTTTCAATCCCAATAAACAAATAAAATTACCTTTTAACATTTATTTAAATAAAAAAACACTGTAAAAGTGTTACCTATATATTAATTTAATTCAACTACCCTCGTATGAACTAATAATGAGTAATCGCAGATTCAATACAATAATACTATTCAACGCAAAAAAATTGACAAGGTCAATTTTACAATGTTTTGGCCAAAAGACAGGATAGGTAATAAGCAAATTTAAATTGACAATTTAATTCATATACAAAATATCTCATAAGGACTGGTATTTTTGTCATTATTACAGCGACTATTTCACTAGAGTGTATTACACCGGTTATACAACTCACTGTACATTATTCCCATATGACACGAGAGGCTTAATAAGTGATAAGCCTTTTGGGATTATCGCGCTTGGTGGTATTTATGGCAAATTCTATTATAGATTTTTTTTTTTAAATTTTAAAGTATTGAAGTTTAGTTCGTTGTATAACCTTTTGAATACCACTCGAAGTTTCAGGATTACCTAATACTTTTACCCGATACTCAACGTGTTACCAAAATCACTCGCCTGACGGCTCGTGATTTTGTCGAAAATGTCATTCGTGAAATTGCCAAGCATTAAACTTTCATACCTTTCGAAAATTTTGCTGACAAATTTTTTTTTCTACTTCCGTGCGCAAAGTAATCACTTTGCACACTCATTTGCGTGCGCAAAGTTGAACTTTGCGCACAGAAACTCTTTGCGCACTCATTTTTGTTATGCATGATTACCATAGTTATACTTGAATTTTCAATGTTTTGATGGTTTCTGATTAAACTAATATTCAAAATGAGAGTGAACCAAGGTCTTTCTGTTACCATTCAACAGTGATTACAATCTAAAACTGGGATACGATTTATTCCATCTTATTCGAATTTCTCTTCATCTACGGAAATTTGTTTGTTGTCACAAGAAATGCCATTACAATTACCACATAGGATTGAACTCGGAATTACATCCTGACTTGCAGTTGCAATATATCATATTTAGAACAAAATCAGGTGCCACTGCCTTTGACATAGTTTTTGGAACCAACATGTCTATTTTTTCATCCCAACCCCAATTTGTTGGTTCTTTTTTATTATTAAGCCAATATTGAATTTGTAAGTAAGTCCTATAGTAATGATTCTCATCAGCTCCGTCTGAAGTTGGAGGCAAAGTAGCTAACTCAAAATTCTTGCTAGGAAATTGACGATATGTAAGGGTCTTGTATTTATAATATCTCAACTGATCATCATCAATCATCAAACATTTTGTTTTGTTCTTCGATTTTCGCGCCTTAAATAATTAAATTATCAAAACCGAATAATTAACAGAATTGAAAATTCATAAGTTGGTAGATCGCTATGATACAAAATTACTTCTCATTGTATCTGATAGATTTTTTAATTCTCTTCAATTTTCATGTCTCCATTTTTTTCAAAAAAATGTACCGTTTTCGAGTTATTCGCAGTTTTTCCCAAACAGTGCTGAAATTCAAGATAGCGGACGACTTTTTTTGGTGACGCAACAGTCGGAGGCATGGGGACTTTTAGTATGTTAATAAGGCTACTTATTTTTGATAGTCGCAGCTTTATAAAAAAAAAATTGCATTTTCAACATTGTGAATTTCATAACTGCACTGGCTTATTGATCACAAAAACAAAAATATAAATTGAAATTTCTAGCAAGGAAACGTGTATGCGTCGACGCCAAATCAATTGTCGCCCCAAAACTTGAACCGGAGGTCGCAAGGCGAGAAACGACTTTTGGTGAAGGTGATCAGGGCGGCTCAATTGGGCGGGCAGAACGGCTGCGCGGAGCCGTTTTGCGTCGTCGAGATGGACGAGCCGGCGCAGAAGAATCAGACGTCTGTCAAACGAGGCGGCGAGTCGCCTTTTTGGGACGAACATTTCTTATTGTAAGTAATTTAAATTTGTTGATAATAATCACTGTTGCCAGGTTAAAAAAATTAAATTCAGCAGAAATTAAAAATCACCAGATTTAAAAAAAAAAAAAACACCAGAAATCTTGAAAGTTGATTTTTCAGAAAAATTCTCACCTTACGGGCTTATATCAAACCAAGTAGGCTTTGGAAACATGTATGTATTGCAATATTAGTATTACAGGGCGCCATATTTAAATTCTAAAATCTTGCAAAGGTTACTTTGTCCCTTGTCAAACAGTGTTGCCAACTACAACTTAAAACAAATATTGTGTCAATTATTGAGGCTTGAATTTATACAAAAGAAAGCCCAAGTAGGCCTTGTAGATTTCAAATTTTCCATAACAGTAATTAGGTATATAAACATCGGCAACACTGTTGAGAAAAATGTCAAATATCATTTATAACAAGCGATAAGATTACTACTCATCAAAAACTAAGTGAACCTTGAAGCAATCTTGGACTGGGATCATGACAAGTAAAATTCCACTGAAATTCTACTTTCATGACGTCAGGTTGCCTAGCAACAGTGATCATCGCCTGTAGTATACACGATAAATAGGTCGCGGGTGACGTCATGAAAATAGAATTCTACTTGTCATGATTCTAGCCCAGGATTGCTTCAAGGTTCACTTAGTTTTTGATAGGTAGTAATCTTATCGTTTGTCATAAATGATATTTGACATTTTGCCAACAGTGTTGCCGATGTTTATATAATTACTATTATGGAAAATTTGAAATTTGCAAGGCCTACTTGGGTTTTTTTTTTTTTTGTATAAATTCGAGCCTCAATGATTGACACAATATTTGTTATAAGTTGTAGTTGGCAACGCTGTTTGACAAGGGACAAAGTAGGTTTAGCAAAATTTAAAAATGTAATACCGACATTGCAATACATATGTACATGTTTCCAAAGCATACTTGGTTTGATATAAGCCCGTAAGGCGAGAATTTTCCTGAAAAATTAACTTTCAAGATTTCTGGTGATTTTTTTTTTTAAATTTGGTGATTTTTCATTTCAATTACTGGTGAATTTAATTTTTTTGACCTGGCAACAGTGATTTGAATCCTCTACAAATTAATATTATTTATAATAAAGCATATTTTGATTTAATTTGAATTTTTTTTCAGTGACTTATCTCCTCACACAGCTGAGCTTCTTTTTGAAATCTACGATCACGCAGTAAATCCTCATAGATTTTTGGGTTTGGGTATTGTAGGAGTCGAAGAGCTACTCATCAACCCATCGCAAAGGCAAATCATCACTCTACAAAGTAGACCTTACGAAAGCGACCCGGTAACAGGAACTTTAACAGTTGAGGTAAGTAGAAAAAGTTGAAGTTTTTTATTTAATTGATTA